CCAACAGAGATGCATACATGTGTTTTTAAAAAAGTTCAAATGGGGGAAAAAAATTGTCTTTTAATCATCATCTGGATTTTATTTGGATAAGAGACTCTTGAAATAACGGTTTAAATGGAGCCTTTCATTAGACAACGTTTCTGAATATGTCTCACTTGCACTTTGACACTCTTTTGTGTTCGTAATATATTTGGTATATTTTAGAGTTGATAACAGCTCGTAGTGTGAAAAAAGCTCCGTATTAGCAGAGTGTTGTACAGATAGCTTGTGTTACTTTTCAATTCCTGTCTTAAAGCTACATTTGTCAGTAGTCATGGCCCTGAAGTCATTACAATCTGCTCCTTTTGTTCCCCAGGTGGATCTGGTTGTGTGTCTGGTGTGTGGCAGTGGGGGAGAAGAGGACCGTCTGTTGCTGTGTGACGGCTGCGACGACAGCTACCACACCTTCTGCCTGATCCCTCCTCTGCACGATGTCCCCAAAGGAGACTGGAGGTGCCCCAAGTGTCTGGCTCAGGTGAGGATAAACTGCAAAGTCTGATTAATGCGTTGCAAATTGACTCCTGTGTAAGCTTTTAGAACAAGAACAAGAACAAGAACAAGAACAACAAGTCTGTCCACTGCTCAATGTTTTTTTTTAAATTCTTATCCACAGGAATGCAACAAACCTCACGAGGCATTCGGCTTTGAACAAGCGTACAGAGACTATTCCCTGCGTGCATTTGGGCAAATGGCTGATGCGTTTAAATCTGATTACTTCAACATGCCAGTTCACGTAAGAAGGGGCAGTTTCAAAATAAGTCTGTCTCTCTTTCTCTCTCTCCTGCTGTATTTTAAATGTGTCTTTTTCCATGTATTCATTACAGATGGTACCCACAGAGCTGGTGGAGAAAGAGTTCTGGCGTTTGGTGGGAGCCATCGAGGAGGACGTCACCGTAGAATATGGAGCAGATATTGCCTCAAAGGAGTTTGGGAGCGGATTCCCTATTCCGAATGGGAAATTTAAGGTTTCCCCAGCCGATGAGGTATGCCCACGAAACGAGAGACGCAAGATCCTGTAAGACTGTAACACACCTATAACCTAACAACGGGATTGTTACGAGGGTACATTGTGCTGCAGAAAGCTGCGTAACCCTTTTTAATGTGGATTTCACGTCACTACTGAAAGATACAGCAACCAGCAAGGGAGATTTTAGCCAAAACCTCAATGAACTTAAAATAAATAATTATTTTAAATTGGTTAATACGTCCATCTGCTTGTCCAGGTCCAGTTCTGCATTAATTTAATTACATCATTATGAATTCTTGGTTATAAACTACTGGGAAGTATTAAAACATGTAAAGTAATAATACAGAACTCTAGGCTTTATCGTTCCTGTTGGTTTTCTATAATTTCACATTATGATTATGAATTATGAAAACTGTAACTGTGTTGAATTGTATTCTATCTGATATTTAAAGGGTCTTTAAAAAGGATCTTGGTGAATAGAGTCCGACTGTATCAGACAGCGTGATATCAGATAGGATTAAGTCGTATAAACAATATATTGCACGGCCACTCCTGTGTTTTTAAACTCTATACGTCGTCTGTCTTGCAGAAATACCTCAAGTGTGGCTGGAACCTGAACAACCTGGCGATGATGAACCCGTCTGTACTGACTCATGTGACAGCTGACATCTGTGGGATGACGCTGCCGTGGCTTTATGTTGGCATGTGCTTCTCCTCCTTCTGCTGGCACATTGAGGATCATTGGAGCTACTCCATCAACTACCTGCACTGGTACTTAAGAACAAAAGTCTGCTGTTGCTAAAGCTCCTGCTACCTTAAGGGCTGTGGAGTATTTATGGTGGCGTGTGATGGTTCACGTCAGGTCTAGACTTTATTAATGTTTTATTCCTATCTAAATCTTGTTGTTTATCTTACTCACTACAAGGGGGGAACCCAAAACCTGGTACGGAGCTCCTGGATTTGCTGCAGAACAGCTGGAGGAGGTGATGAGGAAACTGGCTCCGGAGCTGTTTGAGTCTCAGCCTGACTTGCTGCACCAGCTGGTCACCATCATGAACCCCAACACCCTGATGGCCCACGGAGTCCCAGTGCGTATTGATGCCTCTTCTTTCACATGCTCTGATGCTTTCTGTCTATAATCTGCAGCGAAGCACAGCTGACATTTACATGAACGAGCAGCTGGTCTTTTTAACAGGAACGTAAATCATCTTCTTTTGTCTCTGCCGTACTTCAGATTTACAGGACAAACCAGTGCGCTGGCGAGTTTGTCATCACGTTTCCCAGAGCCTACCACAGCGGCTTCAATCAGGGCTTCAACTTCGCTGAGGCGGTCAACTTCTGCACTGTGGACTGGGTATGTTTCGCTTTATTTGTGTAACCACACAAATAATAATTGCATAACATGACAGGCCTTGTACAAATCATTTTCAATCATTCTTTCATTTTTAATTGATTTTACAAGGGTATCGCACAAAGAAACTCACATTCGAGAAGCTGGAGCCAATTAATTTTTGCTCCAAAAAGTATTCAACACAACAATAACCGTCTTTTCAACCCATTTCTTTCCTTTCTATTACTCCAGATGCCTCTCGGCAGGCAGTGCATTGACCACTATCGTATGCTGCACCGGTATAATGTGTTCTCCCACGATGAGATGGTGTGCAACATGGCCTCGAAAGCAGACACACTCGATGTGGTCCTGGCATCAGCTGTCCACAAGGACATGGTCACCATGATTCGAGAAGAGCAGAAACTGAGAGATAAAGTGAAGAAAATGGTGGGATAGTCCTCATTATCATGTCAATACACTAATTTACTGTATTTGTGAAGATTTTCTTTAGTGCGGATTATCTCTTATCTTGCACCTGGACTAAATACACACAGGATGTGCACCTTTCTACAAAATTACATTTATTCACTTTTATTGTGCATACATTGTTTCTTTACAACAATTAAACACAGTGTTAAGTGTTCATGCAATGAACTTGAATGGGCTTTTAACACCTTTGTTCTTGTGCCACACCTTCAGGGGGTGTTTCTTTGCAAGGAGGCAAAATATGATCACCTCCAGGATGACGAGCGACAGTGTGCCAAGTGCAGGACCACCTGCTACCTGTCTGCTGTCACCTGTTCCTGTAACTCAGGAGTCCTGGTCTGTCTGTACCACATCAACGACCTCTGCTCCTGCTCCGTCACCAACTACACACTGAAGTAAGTCCCTCTGGAGCTGATTCAGGGGCTGTAAACATGCTTTGTGCACAGAGATCAGAGTACACAGTATCTGATGTATTCGTGTAATGAATATTATACTGTTTGTCTGTAAAGATACATTTTATCAGGCAGATCTGCGTGTCCTCTTATTACTGCGTACCTCCCATTAATTCAGTGTTCTGCTTGCTCCTGCAGTTACAGATACACACTGGACGACCTCTACCCCATGATGAGTGCTGTAAAGCAGCGAGCTGAACTGTATGATGACTGGGCCTCCCTCGTGACTGAGACTCTGGAGGCTAAACTGGAAAAGAAGAAAGGTAAACGGCAAGAAGACAAAGCATTAAAGGATCATACCAGGGTTAACATAAAAATAAATGCTATTTTCTTATTTTACCAACGCATGCAGCCATAGTTTAGCTTTATATCCGGTTTAAGTTGTTCTTATTGGACATTATGTCACTCTCCAAAACAAAACAGAAATAGCTTTGAGGAATGAACTACTTTGTCAGCTGTATTGTGTACTAACAAGAGAGAGCTGAAACTAGGTCAGCTTTTCACCCACGTAGGTTCATCCCCTGCATCGCTGCCTTGCTCAGACTCCTCCAACAGCGCCTCCAAAAATGTCCCAGTCACGGCAGCAAAAACACATTTTGTGAATTGTAGATTGCTGTCTGTTAGAGGCTTGTGTTCTGGTTGATCCAGTGATACAAGGACAGTTTCATCTCTTCTTTACCTGTCTCACTCACACATTTCCTCCACTGTATACTCAAACTCATACAATGCACTTCTGTTGAAAGTGTCATCATCTTCTCCTCAGAGTTGCTCCTCTTGATATTTGCTGTGTGACCTTTTTTATGGGTCTTTTTTTAAGTGAATGTTTGAAAACAACGTAATTACTGAGGGCAAAAATAATGCAAAACAAGTAGACACAATGTTATGTTAATTAAAAGGTGAATGTTTCATTATGTGTCTCATTAACTGGATGTTCTCTCCTCAGGTCTCCCGGTGTTTCGCTCTCTTCTTGCTGAATCTGAGTCTAGGCGGTTTCCTGACAATGACCTGCTGCGTCGGCTACGTCTGGTCACACAAGATGCGGAGAAGTGCGCCTCGGTGGCACAGCAGCTATTAAATGGCAAAAGGCAAACCAGGTACAATTAATACACTCTACTACATCAGGTTTATAGATTATCTGTCTCCACGTTCCCTCACGTTTCCTCAGGAAAAAGAAGGATATAGTAGAGGTTCCTTAATGTGTTTCGTTCTTTAATTCACTGGACGATCTCTCCTAGGTATCGGTGTGGTAATGGGAAATCATGCAGCCAGCTGACTGTGGAGGAGCTGAGTTCATTTGTGAGGCAGCTTTATAACCTCTCCTGCAGTCTCCCTCAGGCTCCCATGTTGAAGGTAGGATGTGGAAGAGAAATGCAACCTCTGGTTTTACCACAGAAAAATTCAAGCTGCACAAACTGTGCGTTTTTATTAACACTGTACCTTGTGTTAATTCACACTACATAGGACAGAACCTGCGACTTTTATGCTCACATTGTATCTCAAGTTGGTTTGATCCCGTCACTGTTCCAATACTTAAAGGTGGCTGAGTCCTTAAAAATAAAACTAAATCAAGGCTATGAAGCCGCAGATGGGTACACCACACAGACAGTTTGGTGTCTGTTGAGGTGCAAAGTTCACTGTTATGTCACAGTAGCCTCAAGACTAAATTTAGCTGCAATATGTAAAATAATCCAGTAATATTTAAACCAAGCTCACCACAGTTCCTAACAGACCTTTTGACAGCAGTCGTTATGGAAATCAGACTGGAACTGCTCAAACAACAAAAATGTTCCCCCGTGCCAGAAATCCAACCGGTCGTCCAAGAACCAGATCATTGATTATTCAGGTAATTTATCAGGCGACAGCTGATCTGGCAGATAATTTGGACCAGGAGGTCCAAAATAAACAAAGACAGAATTAGACATCAGTAACACAGTAAAATTTGGAAGCTGTTCACTTTATTTAGCCGAGCAGAGCTGCTGAAGCCTCATGTTACCTTTTAGATAATGAAAAAAGGAATGATTACAAAACCTGCTTTAGTCTTCATGAGTGTATCTGAATTACTGCAGTTGTTTTAAGTTGTTTTGAACCTTTCCTTTAGTCCGTCCAGTCTCCGCTGGCTTTAGACGACTACATTTGCTGTCGGATATAATGAATGTGACTTTGATTATCATTAATTTTGACTCCTTGTATGTTGTTGTTTTTTTTTTTAGGAGCTCTTGAATCGCATCGAAGACTTCCAGCAGCACAGCGAGAAGGTCCTGGCAGATGAAGTTCCCAGCGTTGCCGAGATCCAGAGCCTGTTAGACGTCAGCTTTGACTTTGACGTGGAGCTGCCTGAGCTGCCCCGCCTGAGAGTGAGGCTGGAACAGGCACGCTGGCTGGAGGGGGTGCAGCAGGCCAGCTCTCAGCCCGCCTCCCTCACTCTGGAGACCATGAGGAGGCTCATCGACCAGGGAGTCGGCCTGGCACCTCATCCGTCCGTGGAGAAAGCCATGGCACGCCTGCAGGAGCTGCTCACTGTGTCCGAGCACTGGGAGGACAAAGCGAGCAGTCTCCTTAAAGCCAGGTGAGGGCAGCGCTGCCTGATCCTGTTCGCATCAGCACAGAGTGGAAAAAAACCATCCAAAACATCAACAAGAGGATGTTGTGTTAGGTTGTCATGCTCTCTGTCCACAGCGACTTTAATCCAAAAAGAACAAGTTATTTCTGTATTATGTATCATAGCTGTAACCTTCTGTCCAGGTATTTGCACTGATTGTAAGTGAATAATGTAATCTATTACGTCAGTGCTCCTGATTTTGCTTCATTTTAATTACAGCTAGTGCAAAATGCTGCCCGCTAGAATATTCAACAAGATCAACAAAAAGTGAGCATCATATTTAGTTCTGCCCTCATTCCATTGGTACTCAGTGCTGTTCAGTATTAACTGTCACAAGTGCTTTTCAAAAGCTTTAATGGCATGGCTGTCAGGAATGTGCATCTTTTCTCTCGATTACCAGAAGAAGAAAAAAAAGTAATTTCAAGTCAGGGCTTAAATTTCTACATTTTTCAAAATGATTATGTTCTTTCACCGTGCTTAGTTTACTGCAGCTTGGGATTTTGGGTTTCACGGTACTACAAATATTGTTTTATAAATGATTGAAGATGTTTCACACAAGTTCTTTTCCATGTTTTTTTTTTTTTTTTAAAGTAACTGTAGGCTTTGAATTCTGCTATAAAAACTACGTGTGCAGGATATTTTGGAATATTTTTGAAAGCGTTTGATGGAAAATCAATTTCAGAAAGCTTCCTGTGAAGATGTTGGAAGAAAATGCCTTGACATTTCTTGTTCTACTGAGTTACTGTGTGTGTGTTTATTACCTACAGTACATCGTTTGTGTTTTACTGCCCACCACAGACCCCCACACTCCATAGAGACTCTTAGTGCTGCTGCTGAGAAGGCATCTGGCATCCCTGCTTATCTCCCAAGCTGTCTCCTCCTGAAGGACACCATTAGAAGAGCTTGTGAGTGGCTTCAAGAAGCAGAGGAGCTTCAGGTTAGAACACACTTATTTCATGAGTTTTTCTCAGTTCAGGTTGATTTGAGTGGGATTATAACACAGAAATAACCTGCTTTTTTCAGGCCGGTGGCGGCGAACCAATGATGGACAGTCTCTCGGACATGGTGCTGCGAGGACAAGCCATCCAAGTCCACCTGGAGCCTTTGGACAGGCTGGAGTCTTTAATGGTAGAAGTGCAAGAATGGAAAGAATCTGCAGCTACAACTTTCCTTCAGAAAGACTCAACTCTCACTTTACTGGAGGTAAAAGCACACACATTTATTTAAAATGAGTAATGAGTTCGTAAGGTCATCAGGGTTCAGCTCACTTTCTCCATATGGCCACTGGATCTGATTGCATTAAAGCTATTTTTGGGTTTCAGCGTCCAGTAGAAATGCTTGAGGCAGAGCATCTGTTCCTCAGCTGCCACATTTCGATTACATTACATTTTTCTTGTTCTACACGAATATAGAACACAGATTTGCAGCTCATTTTAGATGTGGGTACTGATGCTTCATGACCTTACATCAATATAATAACAAAAAGGTGAAGTTTGAAGACGTTGTGAAGTAGTGAGGGATCATGGCTGTTAGGATTCCTTCAGTGTTCAGGAGGTTTCTACCGAGAGCCAAATTATCCCCCGAGGTCTCCTCCTCTCCAAAACAAACAGGCCCGGTGATTTAAAGCAGTTTCACCTTAAAAATCAGTTTTTATCTGATAAACGCTGGTTAGCTCAGCTTGTCCCTCTGATGACTTAATATCCAGATGTCTGATGAATAACATCCTTCATCCGGTTAACAGAGACCAAGTTCTAAAAAGTGTCCTAAAAATTTTCCTTAAAAATGGATGAAAAGTGAATTTATGATTTCTTTATTTATGATCTGACAACGCATCTGTAAAGGGAGATATGACGCCATAGACGGCGCCGTTACCTGAATGAAATAACAGATTTCTCTGAGTTTGAACATTGTTGGAAACATTTGGGATAATATAAGGACACTACTCGTAAATGTTACATATTATATCTTTGAGAAGACAATAAGCTGTTGTCATTAACCTTCAGTTATGTTAATTTGGTTAATTGTTTAACATGAAGTATTTAATTACTTTTTTTTTACTCATTTCTTTTTAAAAATATTAAACGATAGCCAAAAAATCAGTTTTAAGATTTAAGGTTTCCAGACTTTTTCCCTTTTTCTCTCCCAGTTGCTCACAATTAGAAATCCAAGAATAACTTTGTTGTATATGTCTGAAGTCAGTAAAAACATTTGTTTTAATTCAATTGCCACTAAATACAGGCATTTATATACATTTACAATTGAATTTCTTGCTGCAGATGAGCTGCTCTGGGGAAAAAGAAGAGCATGTGAACAAGCCTGACTTTCTTTCTTTATCGCAGGTCCTGTGTCCAAGATGTGAAGTTGGAAATGTAGGTTCTCCGAAGAGGAAGCCCAAGAAAGGGAAAGAATCCCCTAAAAATAACAAAAAGAAAACACCAAGGCTCAACACTCTCAGTGATGTGGAAAAAGCTCTTTCAGAGACCAAGGACTCTACCTCTGCAGTAAGTGTCGCCATCGCCTCCAAAGATAAATATGCAGCGCACTGTGGTAGTCGATGAGATTAATGAACTGTCACCAACGGAAGATGTTCTGACTCGGTCTGTGTTTTTATTCACCAGATGGCAACTCTGGAGGAGCTTCGGGTGAGGGAGATGGAGGCTTTCTCTAATCTCAGGGCAGCAAACGAGTCAAAGCTCCTTCCCACAGCAGACTGCATGGACCTGAGGGTGTGTGTCTGTCAGAAGGCGCCGATGGGTGCGATGCTACAGTGTGAACTCTGCAGGGATGCCTTCCACAGTGTGTGTGTCAGAGACCCGTCAGACTCCTGCGAAACACAGCTGTGGCTCTGCCCGCAGTGCCAGCGTTCAGAAAAGCCCCCCTTGAACAAAGTCCTGTCTCTGCTAGCATCTCTGCGGCACATAGGGGTGCGCCTGCCGGAGGGCGATGCGCTGCGCTGTTTGGTTGAGAGGACAGTTAACTGGCAGCACCGAGCGCAGCAGATTTCACAGTCTTGTAACCTACCAGAACTGGAAGAGAGACCAGGGACTCCTCCCACCTTAACGAGCTGGGTAACAGGCAGCCACGACGCTCACAACAACACTCAGGTCACTCTTCATCTCCTAGTGCCACTTTTGTTTTTATAGCGGTTACGAAAAGTATTATTTTCAAATGTTAAGTTTGGGATTTAATGTTTTGGATACAGGCTCCTTGTTTGACTCCAGAGTGGAATAGGACAAGCCATGCTCAGACTGTCTTCTACACCGAGCAGAGATGCATCCCACTGCAGGGTCAGTGTCGTCTTACTCCAAACTGCGGAAGAAACTGTTTCTATACATTGTTTGGAAACACGAGTTGTGGTTGATTGTTCTTCAGAGTGTTGTTGTTCATGTTCTGGGTGTTTCTCTGTGTGACAGGCTTGAGTCGGGATCTAGAGGAGCTGATGGTGGAGGGGCTCCTGCTGCAGGTGTCTCTGCCAGAGGTCCAGAGCCTCTACCACATTTTATTGGACAGAGCCAGCAGCCAGCACACAAACAGGTGCATGTCGCCAACGCAGGACGAGTCCACAGACTGTGACCAACACATGCAGTTTAACTCTCAGGGAAACAATCTGCCTCTGAATCAGGTACGGAAGGAACTGATCAAAGCCCCCCTGAGAACTCAGAATCAGTTTTAATTTGTGGCGATTTTATTTTCAGGATGGCGCCAACGGTGTGAGGGAAACGATGGCCGGCTCAGAAAAGAAATCAAAGCGGCATCTGGAGAGGGAAGGCTCAGACGCAGAGCGCAGGGTGAAGGACAAAAAGCACTCTCACAAAAGACAGAAGATGAATAAGAAGAACCTGCAGCGCCGGCCGACCTCAACATCGACCTCGTCCTCGCCGCGCTCTGATTTCTCTCAGTCCGATGACTCTGATGAGGAAATGGCTGTGTGTCCGGCAGAGAGGTGTCAGCTGCCAGAAGGAGATGAGGTGAGGAAAAATGTCTGAAATACACTTCCTTTCCTCTGCAGAGGTTAGTTTACTGTTTCAGTGCAGGAAGCCATTATGTAAATATAGAAACATACACAATATAAGTATCAGGTAACAAAATGAGAGAGAGACTTCTGCAACTGGACTCCATCAAGGTGAAGCGTCTTCATTAAATGTAAGGCACAAACGTAAAAGATGTGCAGGTCAAGGAACACCTCAGTTCAGTTTCTCTGAACATCCTGAAAACGATGCTGTTTATGGAGGAAGTTTACACAACAGAAGAGCTGAAGGACAGAATGTGAAGATTATAATGACGGTTTCACAGCAGCGTCCAAGGACTTCACTGTTCACTCTCACCGCTCTCATAATGTTATTTTCAGCCGCAGCAGGCAGCTGTCTTAGCAAAAAAAACTCTAAAAACCTTCTCTACCTGCTCAGAAACAAAGTTAGCAACTGGTGAACGTAGTATTTATCAGATATTTCCTTCAGAAGTGGGTAGAGACCAAAAACAAAGCTAAACAATCAGAACTGGACTTAAATTCATCAGGTGACCAGAAACATGACTTTAAATAAATGACTCTGTTGCTGCTAAACTGCTGGATGTATAAATAAGCAGCATACAATATACGATTTCTGCTGCTAGAGCGTCTTTCAAGTTTAAAGAAATAACGAAAAAAATTACATCATGCAGTAGTGAAGGATCATGGGAGTTCTTCTGCTGGTTAGGATTCCTTCAGTGTTCATCGTTCAGGAGGTTTTTACCAAGAGCCGAATGATCCAGAGTTCTCCTCCTCTCCAAAACAAACAGATCCGGTAATTAAAACCAGTAAAAACACTGAATAAAGCAGTTTCACCTTAAAAATCTGTTTCTTCTTCAACGCTGGATCCCAGAGGGGCTGCGAGCTGAGCAGCTGCTAACTTAAAGTTAGCAGCAAACTTATAACTTAAAGAGAGTAAAGATCCAGATGTCTGATGACTAAAATCCTTAATCCGGTTTAAATATCGAGTTAAATAACGACCAAGATCTAAGAAAGTGCCAACGCTGACACGTGCACAAAAGGGGATACGAGGCGAGCCGTGAAATATGCCGTTACCTGAATAAAGTTACAGATTTCTTTGAGTTTGAACATTGTTGGAAACATTTGGGATAATGTAAGAACACAACTACATATAGAACACAGAGTTTACACACTGGTTA